CTGTACGAGCTGCACAGCAAGTACGGCGCCAAGTTTGTGCCCTTTGGCGGATATGCCATGCCTGTCCAGTACAGCGATATGAGCATCATCGACTCTCACAACTGGACGCGCGAGAAGGCCAGCTTGTTCGACGTTGGACACATGTAAGTCAGTGATGAAGAACGGCATATTCAATCTCATGAAATGGTCATGAAATGGAAACTACTGTTCAATTGAATACCCCAATCACGTTCAGCGCTAATTCGGTCAGGGTCCAGCACCACTTTTCTGGGCCTGGCGCCGAAGCCTTCCTCGAGAGCATCACCCCGTCGTCGCTTTCGTCGCTCCCCGTGCGCCAGTCTACGCTGTCAACACTGCTGCACTCCACCGGCGGCATCGTCGACGACACGGTCGTCACGCGTCTCCCCGACCGCTTCTACGTCGTCACCAATGCCGGCTGCAGGGAAAAGGACACGGCCTACTTCAAGACGCAGCTAGAGGCCTGGAAGAATGCACACCCCGACCAGCCCGTAGAGTGGAACATCCTCGACGGCCAAGGTCTGGTCGCCCTCCAGGGCCCGCTGTCCGCCGAGATACTGTCGCGCGTACTAGACGACAAGTCCAAGAAGGACCTCGAATCGCTCTACTTCGGTCAATGCGCCAACGCCGTCATCAAGGGCACCGATGCCGAAGTGCTCGTCAGCAGGGGTGGATACACGGGTGAGGATGGGTTCGAGATTAGCATTCCTGCATATGCCACCGAAGCCGTGACCCAGTTCCTGCTCGATTCCGCCAAGGATGAGTTGCGTTTCGCAGGTCTAGGAGCGCGCGACACCCTCAGACTAGAGGCGGGCATGTGCTTGTACGGCCACGATCTTGATGACACGACCACTCCAGTCGAGGCCGGATTATCTTGGATCATCGGCAAGGACCGCCGCGCAAAAGGCGGCTTCCACGGTGATTCCGTCATCTTGCAGCAACTGAAGAAGAAGTCCGAGGGCGGTGGTGTGTCACGGCGTCGTGTCGGGCTCATTGTAGAAGGATCGCCTGCACGAGAGGGTGCTGAGATTGTTGACGGGGCCGGTGAGAAGATTGGCACCATCACTTCTGGCTGCCCTTCGCCCACCATGAAGAAGAACATCTCGATGGGTTATGTCAAGGACGGTATGCACAAGGCAGGAACTGAAGTTGAGGTCATTGTGCGTGGCAGGAAGAGGAAGGCTGTCGTGACTAAGATGCCCTTCATCCCCAGTAAATACTACAAGCAACCAGCGAACATCAAGGCATAGGCCTCGTTCTGGAGACGGAGCTGCGAAGAAACTAGTATAACTTCAATTCGTCATGTTTCTCGGTCGTGTGGTTTTCGATGTTCTTGACAACAGCTCCAAGTCTGCGGATATCCATCGGCATTACGTGCCCGATCTCCGAGCAGCAAACGACCATGCGCCGACAGATACAGGGACAATTGTCGCTTCCTCATCGGCCTTTCTATCAAAGTCAAACACGCGTTCCATCAACTAACGGCGTCGTTCGGGTCGTACAACGACGTAGCCCGGCGAGAGATGCCGACCGGCACCGTCATGATGCCGCTAACACTGGGTCGCGGCATCTGCGGCATCAACGCTTGTAACGACGCATCGACGTCGATGTTGAACATCAGTCCACAATTCTATTGTCTGGTGCAGTCGTTGCAGATACTGCTGTCGACTTCGTCGCTCTCATTCGATCTCGTTATCGGCAGATCACACCACGCACGTCAATTAACCGGCTGCAGGCCCAGTACAGGGAAGATACAGGGAAGATGCTCCTGGCGCTACTCTGACAAACAGTGAGTTGTCTAGAATGGGCGTGATGGTGTATGGAGACTGTTGTGTAACCAGAGTGGAGGGGGGGTTGGAGATTGAGATTTGGGTATTTAAGAGTTGGTGAGGACGCTCGATTCTGGCTATCATTTATCCATCAAAGTTTCAACTCCCATCTCCTATCCAAACACACCACTGCAAACTCTCCATCTCGCTATCATGCCTCTCACCAAATACAAAGCCGCCTGTGTACGTTCCCACCCTTCCTTCCCCTACTCCCTTCTTCCTCCATCTGACCAAACTACAGGTCACATCCGAGCCCTGCTGGTTCGACCTCGAAGCCGGCGTCCAAAAAACCATCAACTTCATCAAAGAAGCCGGCGACGCAGGCTGCAAGCTCATCGCCTTCCCTGAAGTATGGATCCCAGGCTACCCCTACTGGATGTGGAAGGTCAACTACCAGCAATCGCTTCCGATGCTCAAGGGGTACCGTGAGAACTCGCTGCCTATGGATTCGGAAGAGTTTAGGCGGATTCGGCGTGCGGCGAGGGATAACCAGATGTGAGTAGTGTGGTCGTCGCGGATAGGTAGTGCGAATTTGATTGACTGACAATGTATGCAGCTATGTCTCCCTCGGCTTCTCCGAAATCGATCACGCGACGCTGTATCTCGCGCAGGCTCTGATCGATCCTACGGGTGAAGTCATCAACCACCGCCGCAAGATCAAGCCCACACACGTCGAGAAGCTCGTCTACGGCGACGGCGCAGGCGACACCTTCAAGTCCGTCACGCAGACTGAGCTCGGCCGCCTCGGCCAGCTCAACTGCTGGGAAAACATGAACCCCTTCCTCAAAGCGCTCAACGTGTCCGAAGGCGAGCAAATCCACATCGCCGCTTGGCCTGTGTACCCGGGCAAGGAGACGCTCAAGTATCCTGATCCGGCGACGAATGTGGCGGATCCGGCGAGTGATCTTGTTACGCCGGCGTATGCGATTGAGACTGGCACGTGGACTCTTGCTCCTTTCCAGAGGTTGAGTGTGGAGGGGCTTAAGAAGACGACGCCTGAGGGGGTGGAACCGGAGACTGATCCGAGTACTTACAACGGGCATGCGCGTATCTACCGACCTGATGGCAGCCTTTACTGCAAGCCTGACAAGGACTTTGATGGCCTTCTCTTCGTTGATGTAAGCTCCCACTACCATCAAGCTGATCTGATCAGTCCACTAACATACCGTAGATCGATCTCAACGAGTGCCACTTGACTAAGGCGTTGGCTGACTTCTCGGGTCACTACATGCGTCCTGATCTCATCCGCCTGCTGGTCGACACTCGTCGCAAGGAACTCGTTACGGAAGCCGATACGAACGGCGGTATTGCGACTTACACCACGAGGGAGCGCTTGGGGTTGAATGTGCCGCTTGATGCGCAGGCGCCCAAGCAGAAGGCGAGTGCGGCGGATGCGGCTGTGAGCTCCGCGATTTAAGCTCAGCGAGTGTTGAAACAGTATGTGCTATCATGTAGGAAGTCTTAAAGATGTAGAAGAATACACAACTCCGCTCTTTATCGACTTACTCACTTGCGTCACGCTCAAATCGCGATACGGCGTTATTGAGAGCTCACTTACTAGATATTGATTCAGCAGTCACTCGTATCCTTTACTGCCTCCGTTGGTTCATCAAACCGACACTCCCAGTCCTACAGTAGCCCTCATATACCACTCTCTCGACATATCTCCCGCTTACACCCTTCACAAAGGCGTTTCTCATGAGGTGGAGTTCTCCTCGCTTCGTACTCAGGCTGCTCTTGCCGCACCTCAGCCCAAGCCAGGAGCCTGTACGAAACCCGCTCCACGTAACAGTCTTTATCCACATACATCTTACCCAATCTCTTGCAAGACTTACAGCACTGCGCGGCCACTTCGGCGTTGTAACTACCATTCGTATATCGTCGAAAGAGTATTCCGATCCTGTTACTTGCCCAACCGCGGCGTGGGCAACTAGGGTTGTAGCATCGGAATGAGCCCGTTATGTTGGTTTTGTACCTTTTACTTGTTCCGAGGTTGGTGTTGGTGCTGTTGAATGGGGGAGGAGTGATGTTGTGTTCTGACACTGCGAATGCGACGGCTGGGTCCAGAGGCGAATACATGCGGGTGGGAGGGTTCTTCTGTGGCATCTTGAAGTCGTACTCTCAGTGGAAGTGATATGGGGAGTATCATCAACTGGTGAGCGCCATTTAACTAGATATGCGTTTGCTCAACGGCACATGCCTCAACGAACCACAAGGTCCGCAACCCACGAGACTTTACCCAGATATCACTGGCCCTTTCCAGAAGGTAGCAGCTGCATGTGTTACCCCGCACCCTGGTTAGTTGTGCTGCAGCGAAGGTCGCACAGACATGCGTGTCCATCAAGAATGCTTTGCAGAGGCGTGGGTTGTGCGTGTCTCGAATCGCGGGGCGGGGTCTCGCAAGGCTGGCAAGGACTGTTTACGCGATATGGAACCTTTGGTAACCTCATGTTGACCCTATCTATCGCAATGAGTGGAGATAGATAAGTGTCGCATCTAGAATCGATGCGCCAGATCCTGGCAACTACATGATGTCGCTCTTCCCACCGTTTCGGGTCCTCCGCTTTATTAGCACTCGCTTTCTAAGCTTAACGCTCACCTCAAAGGAAGCACACATACGCGCAAGGAGCAATTGCGACAGGCATCCAAGATAGAGAAAGATGCGAGCGGTGGTAAGGCGGCTTGCCCGTTGTGTCCAGGTTTGAGTGGATAGAAGAAGAGCTAACTCTTGAGACACACGAGGAAGTCGCTTCTAGAACAGTTCTGGGAAGACGGAAGAGATGAAAGCTGAAGATTTAGACTGAAGAGAAATCGGTTCTGCACTGTGTTTGAACTCTTGTAGTGGATGCGAGCTCTAGGGCAGAGGGACAATGTCGCGATAATAAGCAACACGTGGAGTTATTGCCTCGACCGTGACTTCGCCCTGCTGGTAGATGGTGTTCAAAGCTCTACTCTGATCCCATGATGCGTGTATACGCAAGGCGGGAAGTGGCTTCCCAGCGACAGTGTTCGCTCTATCCGTCTGGAGTACCCCACCTTCCTGCAGACTTTATCGAGCCCCCGCTAGAGTGGCTGCTTGTGATGACTCCCATCGCTGTCTGGAATATGGTTTTTGCATTTTGATTTTTTTCCATCCAATTACAAGACAACATCGGTCGCTTAGCTCAGTTGGTTAGAGCGTGGTGCTAATAGCGATTTCGCCGTAACGCCAAGGTCGCGAGTTCGACCCTCGTAGTGACCACTAAAGTCCTTTCTTTTTGCTCTTTTTGCTATCTTATAGAGATTCTGCTCTTTTTGCTATCTTATGAAGATTCTGCTCTTTTAGCTGACCTATTAAGATTCTATGTCCAAAACTCTATTCTGGAGGTCTAGTAGGTTGATCTGTAGCCCGCATGGCGAGTTCGATTATCTAGATAACTATCTCGAGCCTGCCTGTTGATCTCTCTCTTTTATTACCTTCGCTCAAGAAGTCTCCTCGAAGATAATACCTAAAGCGAGACACATTGACAGATTTGCTTTATCTTCACCCTATTTCAACGCCGGTCAAAGTCTCCGTCTCCAACTCCAATGCGCCTCAACATCCCCAACCAACTCCTCCCAAATCTTCCAATTTTCCGTCCACATCCCGTCCTTCATCAAGATCGCCTCTTTTGCTTTCTCCGCATACTCCAACGCCTTCCCTCTATCACCAACAGCGCTATACGCCAACGCCGCGAAGCCATACGCCGTGTCCAAGAACCCTTCTAGGCCTTCTCCGCGGTAGATCGTCAGCAGACCTTCCGCCATGGCGGGTGAAGCCGAGGAAGTAGGCGACCAGTCGTTGAGTTGGGATTGCAGGGAGTGGATGTGGGAGAGGGTGGCGTCGGAGGAGGGGGAGAGGCAGCGCGGGCAGGTGCATGTGAAGTGGAAGCCGGATTGGAGGTGTCCTTGGCGGGAGGATGTTGGTTCCAGGGGTGAGGTATCTGCGTGTGTCAGTACTTCCAAGGGGAAGTCGAGTGGCGAGTGCCGCATCGCAGTGAAAAATGGCTTACATGATATCGTGATCTCTTCACCCTCAGCAATCGGTCGTGTAACGCGCACCGTATGCGTTAAGAGATTTGTGTCGATAACGTATTGCGCACTATCATCGCTTTGTTAGCCTTCATTCCCCCATCCCCAACGCCCCATCCAAAAGAAAAAACATACTTCGGCGCACAAGCATGATTCAACCTCGACGTCTCTGGCCAAACCGCTAGATGATTCGCTCCCCCGACCATCAACTGGAACGTGTTCGCCTTAACCACATCCTGCACCTTTACTCTCTCATCCCCATACACCGTCGCCAAGCCCAAAAACTTCTCTTTCAAATCCCTGGGCAACTGCTCAATTGCGATGCGCCAAAGCTGTTCGCGGTCTAATGTCGAGAGCTCGGATTCTAGGTACGCGATGAAAGCGGGTGTGTGGCTCGTTACTATATCGCCGAAGTTAAGGGGACTGGTGGCGAGCATGCCGATGCCTTTTCCTGGGATGGAGGTTGCGGTATAGACATTGGTTGGTGTGTTGACATTATCCGATGCGAGGGCTGAGGGATAACGGAAAGCGGGTAAGGAGGCGAATTGCTGGGCTAGAGATGGTGTTGTGACGATTGAGATTCCGCGGCCTTGGCTGAATGTATTGTCTGTGTAGATGCAGAGCGTATCATTCATCCCGGAGAGATGGGGGGTACAGAGGGGTTGGTGGGACCATGGTTCGTAGGGTGAGTTTTGTTTCTTGTTTTGTGTGTTTGCAAGATGGGAGAACGGGGAGCAGGACGCGTAGTCTTGGGATCCGTCAAGTGAGGTTTGGAGAGAGAGGGTGTAGAGGGGACTTTGTTGCTGGCATTGTTGATGTTGACGCCAAGGTATTGTCGAAGACGCAACGCATGCGGCGTGTGCTAGGCAAATGAGATGGCTCCGCATTATGGTTTGACTCCGGTAAGGCCAGACGGGAATTGACCAGGCTGTTAATATGGGTTCGTGTTAACATATGAACAGCGTGCGCAGTCGAGTTGCGTAAGATGGCATGTTGGCGGATGAGACGCAAGACGTTTGGCATGTGTCGCTAAGTATAGAGCGCCAAGCCGTGGGCTTACTTGAGCGCGAGAAGCGTCAAATGAGCGAGACGTAATGGTAGTAATACAGAATTGGGTATTTGAACTTATCAAGCTAACCTAAACACCTGTCAATGCTTTTATGGTGTTCTCCCAACAAGAAGGAATGCGCCCATACTCCACATCCAGCAACGCGACACTGCCGCATCGAACTTGCATCGCATATTACAGATCAAGCCGCCTCGCCCTCGGAGCTGCGCTTCTTCTTCTTCTTCTTCTCCTTGCCCTCGCCCTCTTCCCGTTTCCGCTTCTTCTTTTTCTTCTCCCCGCCATCTTCCTCCGGCGCAACGTATTCGGCCATTCTCTCTTTCCGCTTTGCGTCCATCTTGTCCTTCATCTTGTCTTCCCGCTCTTCCTGCACCTTCCTCTCCTTTGCATGCTTGCCTAGGAAGTATTCTCCGCTCTCGATCTGCAGGTCGACCTTGCTCTTCTCCTGCGGCGGCGGGAACGGCGTGTATGTCTTCTTCGTCTTGTCGGTGACTTTGTGGGGTACGCGGCGTTTGCTGAGGGAGCGCTTCTTGAAGTTGGGGAGGAAACGGTCCCAGCTCTCGTTGACTAGCTCTGGGTCCTGGGTAAAGTCAGTCTGGGTATCTCATATAGCTTGTGCATGTAGAGCCTACCTTGGCGAGCTCCTTCTTAATCATGAGCTCCTTGATCGCGTAAATGGGATGGATGTTGTGCATCGTGTCCTCGACAATGCGCCGGACCTGCTTGAGGCCTTTGTACGGACCCATAGCCGCGACTGTGTTTCCTTGCACCAGCAGGTATGTCTCCGTAAGCAGCTCCAGCGCTTTCAGCGTTGATCCATTGGGCCCCAATATGCGCTGCCGCCTCTTGACGAAGCGATCTTTGTTCCCGACGAGATTCCGTATCTTGATGATGTCCATGGCCACCTCATCCTCCAGAATCTTGACAGCTTGCGGCGCCGGCACGCTTCGCGCAAGCAGCTTGATCAGGTCTCGCGCATTCAATATCGCCGCCGGGTCGTATGTCTTCTGCGTCGTCCATACCGTCATGGAGCCCTCGACCAAGTTGAGCTCGCAGCCCACACCCTGTTTTTGCAGCGCTTGCGTGATAAACTTCCATGATCCCTTCAGATACTGTTCGCGATACTTGGGGAAAAGCGTGCTGAAGCGGGACTCGTCGGTGAAGGCGCCGGCCGTGTTGTCTTCGGGCTTGAAGGGCTCGATCTGCGCGGGCGTTAGAGGCGAGTTTCTGCATGCGCGCAATTCTGGCGCGAACATACCTTCCACTTGTCGATGTCATCGGTATCCCAGGGCTTCTCCGCATTGTGAGTGGACGGCATGGTGGGCGATTCGGTGTTGGTTGGATTGCGATTGGGTGCGGGTAACTTTTTTTCTAGAAGTTGCACTTTCACGCCAGGCGCGCTAAAGTTCTGCCACCGCCCTAGCCGCATGGGATCTGACAGTGCGAACTCCGCACACCACACCTCCTAGCCATGACATCCGAGCACAGAACGACGCATCGCTGCACAAAAGACGACCACCCTCGAAACCTGGAGATAACGCAAACAACTGCAACAATCGTTTAAGTCAGATCTAGATGCCGGCCTTTTACGAACGCGCAGAGCGCTCTAGTCATGCCATATCTTCGCCTTCGCAGCTTCATCGCTCGTACGGTCAGCTACACATAGGTAGCAGATGAGATCCTGTAGAGGTAGAGGCACGAAGTTAGTGAACGTTTCACATCGACTTCGTAAAGTCAGAACTTACCTTGTTCTTCACAGTTGAGTTGGTCTTACCGATTCAGCGCTTTACGAAGCCCTGCCAATCCTCATACGGCCCATCTTCATTATCGTCGCTAACCTGGAGGATGTGCGTAGGTGGGAAATCTTCCCACGCGCTGGGCTCGAGGTTCAGGTTCTCTTGCTCAAGAATGCCCGTGTTGAGCTCTTCCATTTCATTGTCTTCCTCTTTCTTTTCATCTTCGTCGAGTGGTTGCTCTGAATGCAGGAAAGGCGCCTTGGTTTTGGACTCCGCCTTCGCGATCAAGACTCAAGCTTTCTTGCGATCCGGGGGCGGCTTGCACGCGATGCAAAGAACGAAGGTCCCTTGCGTTGCCGTAGGGATTCAGCACAGGCTGGTTGAAGCAGACGCGATGGTAGTAGTTGACGTGGGAATTGTCACATCGTACCCGGGAGGCGTCAGTACTTTACCAATGCTTACACAAGGCGGTGAAATCACTACGACTATCTCGAGGGTCTGCTTTGAAAGTACCGTCCTGATCCCAGCAGTCATTGAAGCCCTACAGGCCGCAGCGATAAGTATGGCAAAGTATGTTCTCGAAGTTCATTGGACGCCACCCGATTTGGAACGCCTCGTTTAGCTCTCAGAATACCGATGAGTCGGTAGAGGCGTCATGGTCGTATTGGGCAGAACCATTTCCATGTCCCGGGTTTAAGCGAAGCGCTGGCGTGGTGCAATTGTATGGACGAACTTGTAAATTCGGTTGTGTTGTCTTCCTGCGCCCGCGCAGGGCGCCTTGATTTATATTGCATGTTACACAAGCCTTGGGAGTAAGCTCAAATAAACTCCTCGTCCAATCAACAAAACGATTCCTCAATTGCCCAGCCCTGCCAACCTTGGAAGGCTTACATGCTTCAATAACACAGCCCACTGCACAACCTGGGGTATGGATCATGGATATTGCTGTTATCTTCTTTGTCGCGCTTGTTCCGTGATCTTACCACCAAAACCTCCAAACGATTCCAAGATGGATCAAACTGGCGAAAGGCTGGACAGTCCTTCCAAAAGCGACCGCAAACCTGCGACGCAACCGCTGCGATACCGTACCAAGTCGTTTTGGCTTCTCGGCTTCTACGTATTGCTTCTTGTTATTCCATGGGCGCTGACATGCGTGCTTGCGCAACGGCCGATAAACGCAAGATCGTATTTGCGACAGGAAGGCTTCACTGATGGTCAGGTCTCAACCATGCGCAATTGGAAGATCGCAGTTGACGTACTGAATGCCGTCGCCGGATTGATCACTAGTAAGTGAAGTACCATGTACCCTACCCCCTACTCATTGCTAATTGTGTGAACTACCTTCCAGTCCCAATCTTATCAGCAATTCTGGCGCAAGCAGCAGTGATATATTGTCAGCGGCGCAAACCGGATGAGTTCCTGAGTCTCAAAGACATGTTCGCCATAGCAGATCGTGGGTGGACGAATCCATGGGTGGTCTGGAAGTCGCTTCGGACACGGCCGGCAAAGTGGCGAGCCCTGGGTAGGAAGACGAGGGCGAGGTTTCTGGTCCCTGCAGCCTGTCTCATCGTTCTTGGAGCCATACAACAACCTCTATATCAGATCCTAGTAAGAGTCGGTACAGCATCTGTGATCACGTGCGAGTGTGTCCCCGCTTGGCACGCACACGGTACATGTCCCACTTCTCCGGACCCCGGGGGGTCTTTTTCGGATGGCAACGAAAATTATCAAGAGATCGGAAGAGACCTTCAGCCTGGAACCATGGCTATCGTGGAGCACCTTCCTATGCTGTCTCGGGTGATCTCGGGCCTAGCATCGCTGTCCGACAGTGAATCGCAATTCCGTCTATGGAGTCTCGACGCGGCATACAAAGAAGTAGACGAATGGTCAGGATGGAATCTCCCTTTGGACTCATTGTACCACTGGCTGTTCTGGCGGAGAACCCGCCTTGATAAAGACCCTTTCCCGGACTTCTTTGTGGCAGGCATCCCTAGGGGAACTACTACTGGAGTGCTACGCCAGCTAGTCATGAGGCTTAATTCGTCCGTGGTGTGCGACGAGGTGGATCCAAATGATTTCCCATCTCCATGTACTGGTGATAAACCTTTGACTGTGTCCTGGCAAGGCGTGTTTGGGAGGAACGTACGCATATGCGTCCCTGGAAATTACACCGCCTTCCCGTGGACGCCTAGTCGTAATCGTCAGGACATTGTCGAGGAGATATACATTACCGTCAATCATACGAGTGTTGCTTATCCGTACCGGCGCCAGGTAGACCCGCTTCCCAACGCAAGGTATAGCATTCGTTGTACAGCAACGACGACAAGGGGCTATTTTGAACTCGGAAATTACCACAATAACAACACGGCTGGACCACTGCTCGAACAGTGGCCCGACACTGATCAGATGGCGGTGGTTTTCAACAACGGGAATTATTGGAGATGTTGGCGATCGTGGGCGCCTGAACCACTACCTCTATACGTCGACAATGCGGACCCTTCGACCTGGAAGGTACCGGGTCCTCTAATGACAAGTGCGCTTGCGCTATTCGGAAGAGGCTCATGGCTAAGTTCGGCTGCAAGCTATGTGTCGAACGCATCATCGAATGGCACCGGCCACAACGGAGATTACAAGGACGCTTCATGGCACCTGTTCTGCCACGGGATGCCCTTTCTGAATCTTGGGTTGCTATTCGACAAAACGAATCTGAGCTCGCTCAACGAGGACTTCCACAAGAGGGAATTGGTCCGCACGGGTGGCTTTGCGAATTCATGCGACTTAACTGATCTGGCCATACCGAGTGGCAAAGAGGCGCGAGAACGCCATGTGCGGCTCGCTACGCAACATCTCCTTGCCGCTTTTGCTCCATCTGATGTAACTGAAACGTACATCAACCCGGAAACTATGCTAACTGCCGCAATGTTTGTCGCAAATGAAGCTTTTCTTACAACGCTTCTCTCTGAGGCTAAGGAAGAGCAAGCTCCTCCAGGGGGTCGTATAATATATACCTCTCCTGGTTTCGCTATGCAAAAGCCTTTCCTATCAAAATTGGCTCTCATAGTACTTTCGTTTTCGATAGGCCTTCAGTTGATCGGCCTGGGCTACTTGGCGTATTACATATATCGCGCCCCGACCTGGTCAGGCCAGCTAGACGCCATGGCTATGGCTCGGATAGGAGCAAGCCTACACAGCCGTGGCGTACTTCCAGCCATCGGTGCAGTGAGCAAAGAGGATATCGCTGGTCTCAAGACTGTTGGGGGCTTGATCGGAGTTGTTGAGAAAAGCCCGCGTCGCAAAAGCTCAATCACTAGATTTGTGTTGCCCGAGCTAGCCACTGCAGGTAGCTTGGAAGTCGGATCGCAATGGCTTCATCCGAGCGAGCAGGCTCGTGGATGCTCAATCGCCAGATCTGGGTCGCCCGAACTGGCTACTACAGATGACTCAGACGCCGAGCTGCAGCGGCTATATCTGGCTGACGAGGGTCGAGGAAGCTTCCGAGATAGCTCACGTCGCGAGAGCTCAATCAACAGATCTATGGAAATACAACGAATCAACTCGGCCGGCGAGCCTTGCGAAAGTTCCGAAGATACCTGTCTAGGCGTTGTATCGCCTGATCCAGATACTACCAAGACCTCAGACGCCGAGCTTGAACAGCTCACCTCAACTGAAGAGCTTCGCAGAAGCTTCGAAGAAGACCTCAACATGGACATCGAGCTCGGAATAGACGCCCCAGGACCAATTCTCGCAGCCGATGTACCGCGCCAGAATCCATTCGCACCCGGCCTGAAGAAAATTTGGAAGGCAGTTCAGCCAACAAAACGTCCCCAAAATGTCAGATCGAGGAGGTTTTATGAACCCTTTTCTAGGTCGGCCAACCAAAAATACGGGATCGCACATACCAAATGAGGCATGTAATCAGACCTCTTCCAGTCCCTAGACCTCCAAATTTACGCCGCACCACCAGCCAAAATCTTCTTCCCCTTAACACTCTTCTGCTCCATCCCCAAACTAACAAAAAACGCCACACTACTCGTCGCAATCGCCAATATAAACGCCGTAACAATCGCATTATTGTACCCATGCAACACCCCCGGCAGTACATCCCCAGGAACAACACCCCTCAAGTTCGTCGCCCCAGCCTCCGCCACAACCCTCGCATCAAACCCCTCCGCATACCTCGGCACCTCCTTCTTCAAAGTATTAACAAAGATATTCTGCGCAATACTAATCGACAGCGCACCCCCCAGCGAATTAAAAAACATAACGCAAGCATTCGCCGTCGGCATATCCTTCGCGTTCGTAACAACCTGGACAGCGACGAAAGGGATCTGGACACCGGCGCCTGCGCCGATGCCAGCGAGGATCTGGTAGCCGATCCATTGGGCCGGTGGGGAGTGGACGGTGAGGGTGTAGAGCATGCCTGCGCCGATGGCGAAGATGGCGCTGCCGAACCACATGAAGGGGGCGTACCAGCCGACGAGGGTGATGAGGCCGCCGATGAGGATGGAGGAGAGGGTTATGCTGACGAGGTAGGCGATGGTGCGGATGCCGGAGGCTTCGGCGGTGGTGCCTTTGATGGCTT